ATTGTTAATTGCAAATTATATATTTTTTCTTCGAGACAACTATGTGTTTTCTTTACACCAATTGATTCCTCTCATTATTTTGTACATAAAAGTATTAAGGTAAGATAATCGAAAAATGAATATTTTACAAAATATTTTACGGTTTATGTAAAATTAAGAAATAAATGATTTCAATTCTTATAACTCAAAAAGTACTTGAGGAAAAATATTTTATTATAGTGTTTTGGAAAACCCTCGAGATAAGCTATAAAAATATGCAATAAAAAATAGGGGGTTCCATTTAAGAAATTGACGGTGATCTTCACGTGACCTTCAAATGACTCTCCAAGGTCAAATCATTGCTACTTTCTTATGGCCTTCTTCAAGCCATACAACTTTTGTTTGAAACATTTTTTATTTAACGCCGTTTTGGAGATATTTGCGTATTATTTAAAATGGGACACTGTATGTTGTATTAGAAAAAAATTATAATTAACCGATATCTCGCCGATAGTCTTGTTTAGCATCTGTAATAATTAATTTTATTGTATTTATATTACTTATTTATATTAATGACCAGAAGCTGCAGATTCTGCTCGAGATTTACTGCCAATCTGTCGTCAGATTACGTGCGTGCAGATCCTGCTCGGTTTTTTCTGACAATTTGACATCAAGTGATGTTAGCAGATCCTGCTCGGTTTTTGGTGACAATCTGCTGTCAGATTCTGTGAGCAGGTTTTGCTAGCGAATCGTGAGCCTATTGCGGACATAACGGATGCCAATCTGCTAGCAACTTTTGTGGAAATCTGTCGCCAATCTGTTGGTAAATTGCACGCATTTTGCTTACCTATTCTTAATGATCTATGATCAATTCTGATTGGAATCATAAAAAACTTTTATAACATCAAGTAGTTAAACTGTTGCTTCTTGTAAGTTATATTTATAAGCATTAGAAGTCTATATTATTAGATTATTTTAAATCGAGAAAAATTTGATGTTAGTTTGTATTACTAATTATCAATCTTTTTATTCATTATTTTTTTATAGAAAAACTCATTATATTATTCAATAGTTTAATATTTATATAAATAATTAATATAAATATTATTTATATATTAACATTAATATATATATATATATATATATATATAATCCTAATTTATTAATATATATATATATATATATATTGTGTATATATATATATATATATATATATATATAGTATATATATATATATATATATATACAATATATAAATATTATTTATATATTAGTATTAATATGTATGTACTATGATATATTAAACTACATTAGCATACAATTATTTATATATAACAACTGGAACGACAAAATAGCCATGTTATATGTAATATTGCAAAAGGGATAATGCATTATAAATACAAATACAGACTTCACAGCCATGATAGTAAAAGGATATATTCAAGTAATATTTAAATTATTAAATTAAATTATACAGAGGTTTCAAATCTAAAAATGTTTTTATAAATCAATTGATTTTAATTCTAAAATATTACTGTGATTATATAAAAATTAATATAACTATAAAAATTATATTACATACGAATAATGTCACAAGAATTTACAAATATTTAGAGAATAAAAATTAAAAATCGTCATCGCTTTTGATTGTAGTATTGCGGACTGTTTAGATTATTTAAAAATTTGTATATAAGAAAATCTCTATTAGAGGACATATTGAAAATTGACATATATCTATTGAAATTCAATGTAAATTTCGATCATTTGGATAAATGAACTGCATATGTAAATATGACTGTAATGCATCAATTTGATCAATAATTTCATCTTATCTTAGAATTATTTTATTATTCAATTAAAATTTTTTCTTACGTTGTTATGAACCGTCAGAAATTAATACGCACATTAGCGTTAGCATTAACAATTCTTTAATTATAACATTCTTATCTAATTTATACATTAATGCTTTCAATATACAGGGTGTCAGGAAATTTTTCACAGTCCCGAAATGTGAAGGTAGATTGGTTCAAATTAAGAAGAAAGTCTTATACTATTTTGCGATATTCGCAATAATTAACGAAAATTAATTAAAGAAGATCGGCCAATGCACGTGGCTAGAAGTGCGCGACGGCGAAGTCACGGATTGAATCCAATTGTGATCTAAATGATGATATATTAATCTGAAAAAAATTTCAAGAGCATAGGAATGGTTTCAAAGATATGAAGAGTTAAAATCGCGAGAAGCGAATCCAATGGTATGTGATAGATGAAAATATCACGTGGACTTTCATTTTAATACATTTTTCGAATGGATTCCTAATTTCAGGAATTATTTTTTGGAGAAATTGTAATTGTGCAATAATTTATTTAAGCAAATTGTTTAAACAAGTAATTTTACAATTTCAACTCTGGAAACAGTGATGCGCGAAATTACTTAAATTATAAACAATTCATATGCGTCTTTGTTCAGTTCCATGTTCATTAAAGAGATATGTAAACTATAAAAGCACAAGTCTAACCAGAATTTATCAGTATAAGATGCTCAGCTGAAAATATTTAATAATAAACCCTTCGATATCAAATTCTTCATTCTACAGTCTTTAAGCCTACATCTCTGAAATTGTCCAATTTCAAGCCCTTAAATCCCGATAAATATAACCAATGAGATTTTGAGTCATAAACACGCATATTTCTCTAACTTTAAGTCAACGTGATATTTTCATCTATTCCATACCATTGGATTTGCTTACCGATTTCGACAACTTCAACTCTTCATATCTCCGAAACTATTTTTATGCTCAATTTGAAATTTTTCTCACAATACATTATATTAATAAGCTATCATTTAGATCACAATTCAATTCAATCCGTAAGGTCCACTAAAAAACATGTATTTTTGTGGTTGCTCTTTACAATTTGACATACATATATTTCAATGCAACATTAAGTTTTTTAATCTAAAGTTTTTTGGACCGAACCTGTTACTAGAAGCAATTTATTCAATAGTTCAATAGTTCAAGTTTCTATTCTATTAATTAATAAAAAAATATATAAAGTGTTATTTTTTCTGTGAAATTGAAAACTATTTTTTTTCAACAACACTAAGGAACTTCGGTATATTATTCTTCTTTCAATTTCTCCCGTTAAATATTTAATATTTTATAATTCTTTTAATATCTTATTAATATATCTCTTTCCTATAAACATTTAATATAATATAACTAATAAGGTATATAAATAAAAAATGTATTGACTTCTCCAACATAATAATGAAGTAAATATCATCAAAAATAAATCAAATATATATTCTCTCGTTTCTTTCGATAAATATTTAAATCAAAACCTTCGAGTATTGATATGCGTTAATACTAATACTAAAAATACATCGTATGAACATTATTTATTGAAATTTGGTTTTAAAAGTAAATATTAAGATTACTTTTATAAAAAAATAACGAACTTTAAATATTGATTTGGATAAATAATATTTAAAGAAGGTTATATTGAAAAAGAAAATTACATTGAAAAAGATATTAAATTATTTGTAAGTTATTTATCAAATGTTAATCTCATTACTTATTAGTAAAATTTAATTTTCAAGCAATGCATACTTGCATATTATAATTATTAAAACTGTCAGTCACGTGGAGTTAAGATGTAGTTAAAATATATTCAGATAAATAGATAAAATTAATGAATTAAAATTAATGAAAACGTCAAAATAACAAAATGAGTAAATCTTTGTAAAAATATGCGGTCACATAAGTTTTATCTTAACATATAAGTTTTCATCTTAACATATCAATAAACAATAATTCTTGTAGTAAAAAAATTCATTTTAAATTCCGTAAGAAATATAAATTATATCTATTTATCGCCAAAATACCACACATTCAGCACAGAAACTTGCAGCAATATTGCAGATTGCAGTGCAATGTAGCAGAGATATTAAAAAGACATTTTACAATATTACTTTAGCAATGTTATAACATTTTAAAATAGCAAAAATATGATAGTGTATGGTACGTGTTTCTTTACTTGTCGCTACGCGGCAACACTTCAATTTTTCATCATGAAATGCATTCAATTTTTAATCATGAAATGGATATGAAAGACTGGTACTAACAGAAGATTCAAAGTATATTTCTTTTTTTTTAAATTTAATTTTCGACAAACTGATTTAATTTAAATTAATTTGTTTAATAATCTGAATCCCTCTAATTGAGATTCAGAATATTAGATTATTTGAAATTAGAAAAAGATGAATAAATGGAAAATAAGCCATTTATCGTGTATTAAAATATTCCTATTGCTAAATGTATATATAAGATAATTGTATGTGTATCGAGATAAAAGCGTAATAATAAAAAAATAATAAAAAAAGCATAATAATAAAAACATAATTTTAATAAGAAACATTTAATAAAAAATACTAATAGATGTTTCTTAAACGTTTCATAGATGGTTAATAGACTTTAAATAAAATCTTATAGAGATCTAATTTGAAAGACACACACAAATATCTAATTAACCGAATTGATGATGTCTAATTAACCAAATTTTATATATTTTTAAGTTTCAAGATTTCTATCAAAAGCAAAAATATTCTATATGATATTATTAGATTATTAGATAATTACATTTTTTAAATATATTACATTGCAATGTTGCTATGATGTTTTGTTGCAATATTACAAAATGCTAACGTCTTAATGTTGCCGTAATTTTACAGCAATGATGTAGCAAAGTTTCGCAATCGATTTGTAATATTATAATATTTTAATGAAAGTATTCTGCAATAAGTCTGCAATCTTTCTATACTATATAGATATAGAGAAAAATCTAAAAATATTTTTAGTATTAAACTTTAAATATTAGATTGAGAATAACTTTATTCAAAAATGTTTGTTAATTCTTTCATGTTGTGAATTATGAAGAATAGGAAAATATTTTATTTAGAGAAAAACATCTTACGAAATAAAATATATTCAAAATATCTTTTTACGAGAAGCTATTCTCTCTTAGATTTTTTCAAAATTGTGACTTCTGAGAAATTATTAGCTTCAGATTTTAAAACTTAACTAACCTAACTTTTGCTTCTGCTTGAATCTGAAGATTAATCAAATTCAGTTCAGCATTAGTATGATTATGATTATTGTAAGCAAAAATAATTCCACGAAACAAGTTTTTGCTCGAATCGAAGCCAAATGGAGGTGATAACGTTGAAACTTTCTTTGTAGTAAACTAGATAATCTCATCCTCAGAATATGTCGGATGCAGAATTTGCAATCTTCGTTCTTGATTCTGATTTTGCGGATTCTTCAATACAGAATGGAGAAATCTTCGTGTCTCCGCTTGTAATGCGTTTAAACGTCTTTGAAGGATACGATTGCGTTGAATGAGAATTATCGTGTGTATGATAATACTCAAAAGATCTGTGAGAATAATTTAAGATATTAGAAAACCCTCTCTCTTTCTCTTTCCCCTCTTGTTCTTTCTATGCCTTCTTCTGATGAAAACGAAAAATAAAATAACTTTTTGATAAAAAAAAAGCTAAAGTGTACGCCGTGAAAAAACTTTGCAATAAACATTGTTTAAGAGTTAGTTTTAGTTTTATTCCATTTATTTTGCTTTGTTTTTTAAGTTTCGAACGAATTTTCAGTAAACAGTGTTATATTAATGTTATATAAGAGCATTAAAACGGAATGTTACAAATAATATACATAAGTATTATTGGTAAGTTATTAATTAATTGTAAAATCTCATTCATAAATGTAACATGTAATGTAAGAATGATGTCGATAACAACGTATTTTATCGTTGTTATATCGTAGTTATACTCTAGAATTGGTTGACAGAAAATATTGAATGATTATATATAGAGTTGGTAATTAAATAAACAAAATAAATTATATTATGTATTTAATTTATAAAATTTGGAATTTCGAAAAACTAGAAATTTTTACTAATAGATAAATAGTTTATTTCTCATATTTATACTCAAATTAAAATAATCTGTTTAATATTTTAAATCTCTTGTTGGAATTGTATTAGAAATTGACAAAAGAGAAATAGGAGAATATTGTCCCGAATAAACTATTCTTCCGATTGGGAACTTTGTAAGTAATCTGAAGATATCATATTAAAGTCAACTGTTAAGATCTCATATGTAGTTTTTAAATAGTTTAAAAATTATAAATAAAAATAAAATAAAATAAATAAATAAAAAAATGAAAATGGTAAAAATCGACAAAAAACCTAATGACCTTGATCTTGATATATGTTATCAAAGTTATATTCCTGAATAACATTTAAAAGATTTTAATCGTCGTTTATTTTTTATTAAAAAGTTATTAACAAAAAAGTTTATCAATGAAATGTAATTTTTTATCTTTAGGAAAAATCATCAAGTGGCATTTTAATAAAAGAAACTATACAAACAGTAAAAGACTAAAAGAAAAAAAATCGAAAAAGTACATTTTACTGTGCAAAAAGCAATCCATGTATCTTATAATTAAAGAATAAAATTAACTTCGTTACACTCCAAAACACTAGACTGGGATGGATCTCCCTTCGCGCAGAAAGTTATAAATCTATGTGAAACTATATAATTATAAACCTCCTTTCTCATTCGAAGCACCATTATAAAAATTATAAAGAATTTCAAACTCATATGGATTCTTTTTCTATTTTCTTTCCTTGATAATAATATTTTAATCTATTGGTCTTATAACATTTAATAAAATAAAATATTTTAACAAAATATTATTGAATTCTTATTTTTATATTTATATTTATTATTATTATGGGGATTTTAAAAACTGTTTAAATAATTCAAATTAAATTTCTCAGAAATTAAGCATTTTCACAACTCATTTTTAATACTGGTAATTTCGATTACATTCAATTAATATTACATATCTGTAAAATTTCATCAAAATGGGAAAGGGATGATATACTAAAACTAAAGTTAAGCTGTAATCTTCTTAATTTTAAATAAAAAATATTAAATTATATGCGGCACACATTATAGATGCGCCGTACTTAGATAGATCACCGCATGTTTTGTTTATGGTGTTATCAGTTTAGAATTTAGAAAATTATAGATATCCCGGATAGGACTTTAATAAATGATTTCTAAACATCATAACAATATCATTTATCAAAAGTTTCATTTCCATCGGAAGAGTGGTTCATTCGGAACTACAACTTAATAATATTTTACTTATATTACTGTTGTAATGTTGCAAAATAATACGTATGATATATTACAATTTTATATCATATAAGTAAAACTTACGTTATATTATTTGTTACTTCCACGTTATATTACTGCAATAAACAATGTTTGCTGGATTGTTTCAATTTAAAAGTGAATTTTAGCTTTGTACTTGTGTATTTATATACTTGTGTATCTATTTCACTTTGTCTTTTCAATTTCGAACGAATCTTTGCCACGCATAATATGGAGCAAAAGATTTTTCTATAAGGAAAATCATATTTGTCACAATTTAAATCGAAAATATGTGTTTCAGTTTACTATAGAGTTTGCGATACTTTTTTGTTTCAATACTTTAAATTTAAAATACATTAACAATCGTACCTTTTTTTGGCATGAGGAGTTTTTTACAATATTCATTCGTATTTGTTGCATGTTTCGTATTTTTATCTGGAATAGAACAGTTTGGAATCATATTCATATATTTTAATTTCCGTAAACAATTTTCACGAGATGTTAGGGATGTTTCGATGATGGTCCCAATTTGCAGCATCTGTTCCAGCGGAAATGTTTGTCGTTTAGTGATGTTTATTCTGTTTTGAGATCTTCGTCGCCGGCGAACATATGTGTTAACTGTAGTTCTAACAACCGGAAATTCTGCTACACAAACAGTTGGCGCCATTTAATAAAAATTCTGAAACATAAATTTTTTAAATATTTATCAGAAAAATCTTATTTAAAATTATTTAATGTAAAGGAATATGTAAGGAATATATAAGAAAAATATTTTAACAGAAGAACGTATATATTCAAACATTTAATTATTTAATATTTACTTATTATTAAATGTAAATATTATTAAATATAATTATATATTATTAAATAATATAATATATTGGAATCTTTTGATACTGTGATTTAAGGAAAATAAATCATCAAAAATTTATAAATTTAATATATTTTAAGATTTAAATTTGATTTGTTCAAAGCACTTTTAATCTTTTAACAATTATAATTTGTAAGTAAAATAAAGATTTGCCTTGTAGAATTAAAATTATTTTCATTCATGAATTCATGAATTCATGAATTTTTGTCATATAATTTAAATAATGTACCATTATAAAAAAAATTGTAGTTTAATATAAGATAATATGATTTTGAAGTTAAATTATATTCTACAGAGCAAATCTTTATTTTAACTCACATAAATTAATTACTAATTTTATATTTTAAAAAGTTAAAAATATATTTATGCAATGTCAAATTCATCTCAAAATGTTATTAGATTTATTAACTTTTGATGTAAATAATTTGTTCAATTAATTGAAGTTTTGAATATAATAGAGATTGCTTTACTTCTCTTACATATCATGAAATTCAAAACCGTAGCAGTATCACTTCATAAATTATTTTCCAGTATATTGCTGGAAAACATAGATATGCATTGTTGTTTGGTTATACTGCTATCTCATATCAATTGCCATACATCACAGAAGCTTGCATCAACATTGTTGAAAGGTTACAATATTGCTCACTGCAGTGTAATGTTGCAGAAATAATACAAAGACATTATTTTGTAATATTACTTTGGCAATGTTGCAGCAACATTTTAACATAGCGAAAATGTATAATATGTGTTTCTTTACTTGCCGCTACGCGGCGACACCCAATTTAACTAAATCGTATTCGAATTCATCTAAAATGGATATAAGATCTACAAAGGATTAATGTAGTAATTATATTTGTTGTCTTGTGTCAGTTTAATTTCTGATAAACTGACTTGATTTACTTAATATTCTGAATTCTAATGATGGATTTACATTATTAAACAAATAATTTGTTTAATAATCTGGATCCTTCATTGGATTTCAGAATAATAAACAGATTTTTCTTAATTGAATGGGTAAATAGGAAATAATGCATTTATTGCAGGTATTAAAATATTTTGATGTCGAAAGTATGTAAAATTATTGTATGTATAATATTCAGATAAATATTTAAAAAACATCTAATAAAAAACACTAATAGATGTTTTTTTAAAGGCATTTTTTTCCTATCTTTCTTAACATTTTTTTATATTTTCAAAGTTTATTTATTAAATTTAAAATGGTGTCTGCATTTGCAAAACGCACTAGCAAAACGCGTTTTAATATTACAAATATTACAATAACGTTGCACCGTAATATTGCTACAATCTTACATTGCATATTCCTAAAAGCGAACATTTTAACGTTGCTGCAATTCCACAACAATGATGCAGCATTTTGCAATGAATTTGCAACGTTGCAATATATTACGGTGAAATTGCTGCAATGTATATGCAATCTTTGTGTGCTGTATGGGTTCATGCTACTCATGTGTGTACAATATGCAGGAAAGAAATTATGAATGATCAAAATTTTTGCAATTACGGTTCAGGATTTGAATATTTTATACTTCTAATATATGTAACATTCACATATAATTATATAATAATATATAATAATTATATATACAGCGTGTCCGTCGATTTCCGATCAAAATGAAATAAATAAGTAGATTGGCTCGAATTAAGAAGAAATGACCTGTATTGTTTTGGGAGTGTCGCAATAATTAACGAAATATTAAATAAAAAAGATCGGCCAATCTGCGTGAGTAAAAGCGCGCGGCGACGAGAGTCGTCCCACCGTAATCCGATACTACGAGCGCGGCGAAGCGGTGGGCGGGTCGCTCTCCGAGACATGATGGTGGTTTGCGATATATCGCAATACCGCGCCGAAAAATGACCCCTCCCCCCTTTTCGTGGCGAGAAAATGATGCGCTATCATTTCCACATCACCTTGCGGTAGATAGCATGGTGCGCTTTTTTTATAGTAGTTCCCCCCATAGGCCTATTCCACTCTCAATTTAAAAATTATTCAAAATGCCATTTACTATACGCTGAATATATCGTAAATGTAAAAAATTAATGGACAGTACCTTTACAAAAATTGATTCGTGGTTGAAAATCCCTCGATAAAATGTATTGCACACGTTGATAATGTGATACGATGATAAAATTCTTCAAGAATCCTTTCTTCATCTCGTACACGAAGACGCACTGCTGGACCGATTATCTCGATATTATGCACGACACTCAATTTCACATAATTATTGCACAACACGTAAAATTGTACGGCCACTTGGTTTTCGTGCACGCCCGAAAAATGATTCCGTGTAAATTGCGGCCGCACGATAAGTATTTTCTCCCGCTAGTCCATATGCCACAATCATATCCGTATATTCCTGCAGAGTACACTTCATTTTCTCTGTTAATTTACTACGCAAACACAAGATTTTTATTAAAACGTCTTAGCTCTCGCACGCTGTTACCAGACTGCGTACGCCAGCAGCACGCAACTATAGCTGAGCGGACATGTGAGTGTAATCATAGTGCGCAGGCGTCGAACTCACACGTACGCTTACACTCACATGTCCGCTCAGCTGTCAGCTGTAGTTGCGTGCTGCTGGCGTACGCAGTCTGGTAACAGCGTGCGAGAGCTAAGACGTTTTAATAAAAATCTTGTGTTTGCGTAGTAAATTAACAGAGAAAATGAAGTGTACTCTGCAGGAATATACGGATATGATTGTGGCATATGGACTAGCGGGAGAAAATACTTATCGTGCGGCCGCAATTTACACGGAATCATTTTTCGGGCGTGCACGAAAACCAAGTGGCCGTACAATTTTACGTGTTGTGCAATAATTATGTGAAACTGAGTGTCGTGCATAATATCGAGATAACCGGTCCAGCAGTGCATCTTCGTGTACGGGATGAAGAAAGAATTCTTGAAGAATTTTATCATCGTATCACATTATCAACGTGTGCAATATATTTTATCGAGGGATTTTCAACCACGAATCAATTTTTGTAAAGGTACTGTCCATTAATTTTTTACATTTACGATATATTCAGCGTATAGTAAATGGCATTTTGAATAATTTTTAAATTGAGAGTGGAATAGGCCTATGGGGGAAACCACTATAAAAAAAGCGCACCATGCTATCTATCGCAAGGTGGTGTGGAAATGATAGCGCATCATTTTCTCGCCACGAAAAGGGGGGACGGGTCATTTTTCGGCGCGGTATTGCGATATATCGCAAATCACCATCATGTCTCGGAGAGCGACCCGCCCACCGCTTCGCCGCGCTCGTAGTATCGGATTACGGTGGGACGACTCTTGTCGCCGCGCGCTTTTACTCACGCAGATTGGCCGATCTTTTTTATTTAATATTTCGTTAATTATTGCGACAATCCCAAAACAATACAGGTCATTCCTTCTTAATTCGAGCCAATCTACTTATTTATTTCATTTTGGTCGAAAATCGACGGACACCCTGTATAATTATACAGGATCCGTCAATTTTCGACCTTGACTAAATAAGGAAGTAGATTGGCTCAAATTAAGAAAGAATGACCTCTATTGTTTTATGATTGTCGCAATAATTAACGAAAAATTAAATAAAGAAAATCGGCCAATCTGCGTGAATAAAAGCGCGCGGCGACGAGAGTCGTCCCACTGTAATCTGATACTACGAGCGCGGCGAAGCGGTGGGCGGGTTGCTCTCCGAGACATGATGGTGGTTTGCGATATATCGCAATACCGCGCCGAAAAATGACCTGTCCTTTTAGTGGCGAGAAAATGATACGCTATCATTTCTACACCGTCTTGCGATAGATAGCATAGTGCGCTTTTTTATAGTGGTTTCCCCCCTATTCCACTCTCAATTTGAAAATTATTCAAAATGCCATTACTATACGCTGAATGTATCTTAAATGTAAAAAATTGATGGTGACAGTATCTTTATAAATCCGTGGTTGAAAATCCCTCGATAAAATGTATTGCACACGTTGATAATGATACGTTGATAAAATGCTTCAAGAATCCTTTCTTCATCTCGTACACGAAGATGCACTGCTGGACCGGTTATCCCGATATTATGCACGACACCCAGTTTCACATAATTATTGCACAACTCGTAAAATTGTATGGCCACTTGATTTTCGTGCACGCTCGGGAAATGATTCCATGTAAATTGCGGCCGCACGATAAGTATTTTCTCCCGCTAGTCCGTATGCAGTGTTTGCTGTAGATAATTTCAAAATTATCTAGATAAAGGTAAAGATAATATCCATTTCAGTGTATACTTGATAAGGACCACAACCATATGGTCGAAACGTCGTATTGAATAAATTATAATTCTGGCTGGGATAATAAGTTTGGTCGACTACACAATCTCATTTAACCCTTTGTAAAGATAATAATTCGTAAATTTATTTTAGATGAGATAAATATGATTTTGCTTTTACTTAATCTAGATGAGATGATTATTGCGATAATCTAGATAATTATCTAGATAATTATCTAGATAATTATCTACATATTTTTGTTTATTTTATAAGACTATAAATATTTGTAAAAAATGTGACGCAGATTATAAATGGGATATTAAAATCACATATTCTACATGGAATATTAAACACATATTCTTTCTCCTTTCCTAAAGAATATTTAAATAATAACAAAAAGGTATATAAACGATATGATTAATTTATTTATTAATTTATATTTATAATATATTTATAATATATTTATAATATATAATATATTAATAATATAATAATAAATGTGTAACAATACATATATCATTTTTATAAAATATACATTAATGCAA